AGCAAAGCTATCTGGTCCTGAACCTCTCTTTGTTGTATAGTTTTTGAGTATTGATTAAATCTCTTTGCCTTTTATGTTGATGTTTTCTTTTTCTTCTTGAATAACTTTTGGTTGGGAGCTCTGATTGCATAGTGCCTAACGCATTTGACTGCTAACCAGAAGGCTGGTGGTTCAAACCCACCAGCCACTCCTCAGAAAGAAGACTGAGCAATCTGCTTCTGTAATGAAACTGCCTTGGAAACCCAAGGAGGGGTCACTATGAGTCACATCCGACTCAATGGCAATGAGTTTGGTTTTGGTTTTAACTTTTGGTTAATTTGTGTATTTATTAATTTGTCCATTTCTTCTAGATTATTAATTTGTTGGCATACAGTTGTTTTTAGTATTTTATTGTAATCCTTTTTATTTCTATAAAGTTAGTAGTAATGTCCCTACTTTCATTTGTAATTTTAGTTTTTTGCATCTTTTCTCTCACACACGCATGAGCGCATACACTCTTTTCTCATTCTCTGGTCCTAAAGTTTTCTCAGTTCTATTGATCTTTTCGATGAACCACCTTTTGCTTTCATAGATTTTCTCTGTTGTTTTTCTGTTCTCTACTTTGTTTATCTTTGCTCTGATCTTTATTATTTCTTTCCTTTTGTTTGCTTTGGGTTGTTTTCTTTTTCGAGTACCTTAAGATGTAAAGTTAGGTTATTAATTTGAGATTTTTTTTCTGTTTAATTGTGATTTGGGTGAACGTTTACAGAACAAATTCATTTTCCATACAACAGTTCATATACATTTTGTTTCACGACCTTGGTTACAATCCCCATAATGTAACAGCTCTCTTCCCTGTGGTTACCTTTTCCCCAGTGTCCTTCATTCCTATGCATTCCTCTCCTCTAAGCTATCTCCCTATGCAAATACTGCCCTTTGGATCTCCTTTGGTTGATTTTCTAAGGAGTCTACTTACCTGGTGTATAAATATTCACCTTACATATATGTCTGTTGTTTTACTGGAAGCCACATGAGTGAGTTCAGTTCCAGGCCCAAAGAGTGATTAGGGGGCCATAATCTTGGGGGTTCCACCGGTCTTTGTCAGACCAATGAGCCTGGTCTTTTTTATGATTTTGAGTTTTGTTCCACATTTTCCTCCCACTCTATCCAGGATCTCCTACACTGATCCCTTTCCAAGTGGTTAACAGTGGCACCATCTAGTTCTTCTGGTCTCCATCTAGTTCTTTTGGTCTCAGGGTCATGTAGGTCTACTAGTCCCTTGGACTAATTGTTTCCATATGTCTTTGGTTTTCTTCATTCTTCTTTGCTTCAGATGAGAAGAGACCAATTGTTCCATCTTAGATGTCTGCTTGCATAAAGACCCCAGTTGCTACTCACCACAGTAAGATATAGAACAATATTTTTGTGTAGCATGTTATACCAGTTGAGCTTGATGTCCCCCGCAACCATAGTTCTAAGCCTGTGGGCCCAGGACCCTCAGGGTGTTTGGCTGTGCTAAAAAGTTATCATAACTTTGCCCCATTAGCTCTATTATATATAGATGGATGTTCTTATAGCACATACAAATATGTCTGTGGAAATATTGTCTGACAAACTTATATATGGTCATATATACCTAGACATACCTGATCATTCATCCTGTCTATTATGTATCCACCCATAGGTTAATGTTTGTGATTACTGATAATGTATTATTGTGTGTGTAAAAGTGTTTATCTTTGTTGTCTGTGTCTTACTTTTCCTTAGTGTTACTATGGTCACTTGCTTTTAGTTTATTGCCTTTCCCTTCACCCAAATCAGTACTTGTCTCTTACAATTTTCCCTCCCATTTCCTCCCATCCCAGGTAACCAACAAAGAAAGTTTCCTTGCATGTGTAAACCTTCCCTTGATTTTTTACAGTAGTGGACTAATACAGTATTTGCCCTTCTGTGATTGGCTTATTCATTCAGCATAATATCCTTCAAGTACATCCACGTTACGAGTTTCATGAATTCTACATTATGCTTTAGTGTTGCATAGTATTTTATTGTGCATATATACCACACTTTGGTTATCCATTCCTCTGCTGATGGGCACTTCGGTTGTTTGTCTCTTTGCTATTCTGAATAGTACTCTGACGAACATGGGTGTGCATATTCATGTCTTGCCTCTCACTTCTTTATGATATATACCTAGTAATGGAATGGCTGAACCAAATGGTATTTCTATGTCCAACTTTTTAAGGAATCACCATACTGTTTTCCACAGTGGTTGTATCATTTTAGTCTCACCAGCAGGGTATGAGAGTCCTAATCTCTCCACATCCTCACCAGTGTTTGTTATTTTCTGTCTTACTGAATTTTGCTATTATTCCTAAGATGAGATAATATCTCATTGTTTTGATTTGCATCTCTGATGGCTAATGGTCCTGAACATTTCTTCATGTGTTTCTTGGTGAGATTTTTTTTTTCTAGTATAGGCATTGATAGTATAAATTTCCTTGTGAACACTGCCTTCTCTTCATCCCTTAAGTTGTGTTTTTACTTTAATTTATCTCAAAGTAGTTTGTAATTTATCTTGTGATTTCTTCTTTGAACGATTGTTTGATTAAAAGCGTATTGTTTAATTTTCACATGTTTGAGAATTTTCCGTTATCCTTTTGTTACTGGTTTCTAGCCTCCATTTGTGTCAGAGAAGAAATTTTTATGATTTCTGTCTTTTAAAATGTTTTGAGACTTGTTTTTTGCCCTGACATTTGACCTACCATGGAGAAAATTCCATGTGTACCTGAGAAGAATATCCATTCTTCTGTTGTTAGGTAAAGTGTTCTATATATATGTCTTTTAGCTCTAGTGTTCTATATATGTCTGTTAGATTTAGTTGGTTTATAGTGTCATTCAGGTCCTCTGTTTCCTAACTGATCTTTTGTCTAGATGGTCTATCTGTTATTATTGAAAGGAAGGTTTTGAAATCCCCTACTGTTACTATACAACCGTATTTCTCCCTTCAGTTCTGTCAATGTTGCTTCACATATTTAGGACTATATTGTTTAATGCATACAGGTTTATAATTACCAATCAGCGTTTAATTTAATTACTTTAAAATAACAAGAGTAATATGACTTTACTTCTCACTGATTTTTTTTTTTTTCTTAAAGTGGGTTAAGTTGGCTGGGACAGTGAACCATTTGAATTGTTACAACTAGTAGCTATTGAATTTCAAACATGAAGACTCTTGGTGTTTTCCAGCATCAAGTTACACATAATAAATTTAGACAAGTTTACAGGTGCAGTAATGAAAGGATATTTACAAGAGTGACACAAATCCAACTTTTCCAAGTCAGTGGCATAATAATTCAAGCAGTCAGTGTAAACATTCCTGCTATTCATTGGTTCCAATTTTGGTAATTAGTGGAGACTTTTTGAACTGGATTCAGTGAAGTAACTTAGTGGGCAACAAATTTAAAGAAATTTAGGGAAAAATGTTTTCTTGTTCCTGCTTTTTAAAATAAATTTTTTTGTTTTCATTTTGGGAAGGTATAGATTTTCTTCAATTCAGCATGTACTTTATATAAAAAAAATTTCTTGGGATCATAAAACATATTCATTAGAACTTCAGTTCTTTCTGAGCTGTACTGTAGTACTGGATTGGATCTGTGCCACAGTTTTTTTATGCTCTTGTCTTACTGTTTCCACTAGATTGAAGTTACCTGAGCGCATAGACCATATTTATCTTGTATTTTCATCCATTATAAATCTTGCATAGTATGATGCTAGCACATTGTTAGTTCTCAGTCGAACTTCATGGATATTGTTTGTTGAATATACCAGTTTACATTAGAAAAGGAATTCCACTAAAGTAAAAATTCTTCTCTTATATCAGTCTGTTTAAAATTGTCCTGAGTTGCTTTTTTACCTGAACTGTGGAAACTCTGAGTATCAAGTTGCTGCCAGTTTATTTAGTCAGTTGACCTGTGCCTGTGTGTACATATTTTATTTTCAAACATTAATCTAATTTATCTTTCTTAGTAACTTAAAATCCTTTATGAAATTTCTTAAAGATAATAGGCTAGCTTCTTAATTCTACAAGCAATTATGGTTTCCATACAGACATACAGATTATGAAATTTCAACTCTATGATGTTTTTTTCTTTTACTATTCAGATTTTCATTTTTCTTGCCTAGCAGTTCTGATGGCATAGTGCCTAAGACATTTAACTGCTAACCAGAAGGCCTGGCGGTTCAAACCCACCAGCCACTCCTCGGAAGGAAGGTTGGGCAATCTACTTCCATAGTGATACTGCCTCGGAAGCCCAAAGAGGGGTTGCTATGAGTCGATCCGACTCCATGGCAGTGAGTTTTGTTTTTTGGTTTTAGAAGACATAGGCTATAAACATAAAATAACCCTTCAGAAACCAGAATAGATTTTAAAATATAAAGAATATTGTGAAAGATTTGTTGAATAAAAGTGATTTAGACACTATTCAATGAAAATAAGATCAAATTTTCCAAGCATAAAGATAGCGCTGTCATTTTCCACTTAGCCATCCCCACCGTGATGATATTAAATTCTTCTCTTATGAGCTTGTCCATTTAAAGATGGTCTCAGTAGACAGCTCAGTAGTTGGAACAAAGTAATATTCCAATTAGTGTCATCCTCAGGACTGCTTGCTTTTTTTTTCCCCTTAGATTTATATCACACACTTAATTTTGGAAAAGAGATTCACATTATTTACCTAAATACGGCAAATACAATTTTCATTATAGCCCAGCCAGAAACTGGTTATTTTCATTACAGAGATTTCAGCCATCATAAGGTAAAAAAAAAAAAATTATGTGTGTACCTACTATCAAGCTTCTGACCACAAAAACGCATTGCAGAAAATTATAAAATGCTAAAAAGAACAAAGAATAAAATACAGACCAATAATTTTAAATAGGTTACTTAGCTCATTTCTTGTAAGAATGTCTGGATATTACATTTTAAGCTTACTTATTCCTATAACTCTCTTTTATGATAGATATTGAAAACCTATGGCAAAGGAGAGCAACATGTATTGGAAGTAGAAAATAAAAAACTAGTAGAAGACCAGGAAAAACTGAAGACTGAATTAAAGAAAACTTCAGATGGTAATGTTTTGTGCATGTGCAAGTATGGGAAGGCTAGAATGATATTATGCTGTTACACCACTTTGTTTTCCCTAAAACAAAACTAATGCCTGAATGTCCTTCTGGCTAAAATATCAAGAATGACCTATTTATAAATTCCTACTCAAATACAAAGATAAAACACTGTTTCAGCAAAGACAAACATCCTCTGTTATACAGAAAAACATGTAGGTGTTCCAGATCTGTTTTGTAAATACAGATGTTCCTTGACTTCGCAAAAGAGACATGTTCCCAAAAAGTTGCATGTAAACACGTTTTTATAAAATGAATCACATTTTTCCATCATCATATATTGCTTCTTTCAGAGAAGCAATCACAGGGGGACTATTTGGTTATAAGAAAACATCATTTCTCTCAAGCCCTAATATATCCTTCCTGTTAGGCATAAGGAAAAAGTTCTCTAAAAGAGATGAACGGGTATGGGAGTAGCCCCTCTCTGGAACATCAGCTGAGAGTTTGAATGCCCCTTTCCAAGCTTCATTGTAATTTTGGCTTGGGGTGGTGTATCCTAACTCCATTTCCTTGAAGGCAACTAGTCCTCTCCTATATTTTCTAAAAGTAGTTCTGATAATATTTTTTTTTTCATTCTTCATCAAAAAACAGATTATTGCCTACAGCCTTATAACATAGGAAAGTAGATACCCCTACCCCAAGTCCAGAGTTATCGCAGGAAACTGAGAGTAAGTTTGTGACTTGATCCCTGGGCAATATGCCTGCATACAACATACATCCTTGATGTTGGCCAGATACTGGGGAAGCATGTATGCAGTCAGAGTTAAGGTAATGACCAGTGCATAGACCATCTCCAAATTCAAATCTTTTTGTTTGAAGGTAAATTTGAGAATGTTCAGGGACTGAGTCAAGAACCTACTTTATACCATTTATAAGTTTAGATTTTCTTTACAGAGGTATCAGTGTGTTAGAAACTCCCTGAATATAACTTACTATTACTAAATATCTGTTTACATTGTTTGAAAGGAATTTACCTCATCAGAGAATACTTCAGTGTGAGACAGAACAGAAGATAAAAGTTAATTTTATAAAACAAAACAAAAATCAATGGGAGACTATTTCATGTGATACAAAATTATTTAGTCACCTCCTACTCCTCACTTAAAATGAAAAGGAAAATAGTTTAGAGGCAATAAATGAAAAAATAAGTTCCCTTCTCAGTAAGGTGGCATATATATAGCTGTTCATTCAAGTCTTGCATACTTGGTACTATTGCTTTTTTTTAACAATTCCAAAAGATTTGGACATAGTTGAGAAGTTTCATCATTTATATGAAAATAAACTCATTAGTTACCTTCCCTTGACATTAGACATTTCAGGATAGAAACTAGTGTTCTTTGTTTTACCCAACATAAAATAGTTCTGCTAGTTCTTGCAAAGAATGAACAGGGTTATTTCCAAAACACTTTTAATTAGGGGAGAAAAATTATTTCAAAATCTTACTTTCTTCATGTCTGCCAAAGATCTGTTTTCTTATGTATTAAGCAGGGTGGTACAAAAATAAAAGACAAAAATAAATTGTATGCCATGCTATACCTCTCTTAACTCTAGTCAATTTTATTTCTTCTGGCTTTGGCTTTCAGAGCTTCTAACTCTGAAATATTTTGAGCTTTAACTTCTTGAATCTGAGATATAACTCAAAATTCAGTGTTATATGACTGTCTCCTTAAAAGAGAGATAGATGAAGATGGTTACAGAAAATAAACTTTTGATAATGTAGGCATTGTGCTTATAATATAACCAGATACACCAGCCTCTATGTTTAAAATAGACTCCAGAGCTTCATTCCAAATGAATCAGTGTTGAAGTAAAAGCAGATTTTACCTGTTTGAGGATGCCCTATTTGGTTCCTGCAAGATAATGTGGTATTTTATGAACAGCTGTGGTGGCGTAGTGCCTAAGGCATTTGACTGCTAACCAGAAGGCTGGTGGTTCAAACCCACCAGCCACTCCTTGGAAGGAAGACTGGGCAATCTACTTCTATAGAGATAATACCTCGGAAACCCAAAGAGGGGTTGCTGTGGGTCAAAATCGACTCGATGGCAGCGAGTTTGGTTTTGGTTGTTGGATTTATCCAAAGTTACTATTTTACGCAACATCATTAGTGACCTTGGGAAGATAAAAATTCTGTTTCTAAAGAAGACATTTCTTGGCTATATTCTCTTATATGTCTTTTATCTTCAAGTGTATTAAGGTAAGAAGTAAGAAATTTTATCAATGAATAGTACACGATTTGTATGAATTCAGCAATATAATTATACAGTACCACTCAAATATTTACTGATTTATAAAAACTTAAGGGTATTAAGGCTCACAGTGTTCTACCAAGCATGATGTCCTTCTCCAGAGATTGGCCCCTTCTGACAACCTGACCTAAGTATGAGAAACGAAGTCTGGCCATTCTCACTTCTCAGGAGCATTCCGGCTATACTTTCTCCGAGACAGATTGATTTGTTCTTCTAGAAGTCCATGGTACATTCACTATTCTTCACCAACACCACAACTCAAATGCATCAATTCTTCTGCAGTCTTCCTTATTCATTGTCCAGCTTTCACATGCATATGAGGCTATTGAAAATACGGTGGCCTGGGTCATGTATGCCTTAGTCTTCAAAGTTATATCTTTGCTCCTTAACACTATAACGAGATCTTTTGCAGCATATTTGCCCAATGCAATATGTTGTTTGATTTCATGGCAGTCAATTGTGGAACCAAATAAAATGAAATCCTCAGCAACATCAATCTTTCCTCCATTTATCGTGATGTTGCTTATTGGTCCATTGTGAGGATTTAAGATAGCTAGCTACAAACTGGAAAAATGGACTTCTGAAAGCAGGTATTAAGAATACTCTGTCATTAGTGCCAACTATTCATCAATTTTTAACCACCAGTTCAGATTCTGACCAAGATTAACAAATTACCTGTGCAGCAAAAGAAAGTGATCCAAAAGAGAGTGTGTATATCCCAAAGCACCTCATTTACACTTAAGACTAACTTAGTCAGGTGTAAGGACCTGCTTTGTCATTTTTAACGATCGTGTAACCATAGCTCTAATATCCCAGTGTGCATAGTAATTGGAAAAAGGCACTGCCATGAAAATGTGAATGTAAGTTTTAAAAAAATGTGTAAAACTCACAAGCTCTTAAGCTCACATAGCAGAAATAGACCTTGTTTGTAGTGTAAAACCTTTACTGAAATCTGAAGAGAATGACTTCAAAAGGCCTCTTCTAGAAAAGCTACTGGTACTTATAAATAAATACTTTGTTGGTATTTATTCTTATACCTAGAGTGAATGCATAGCATTCAATCAATGCATGCATCCATGGAGTTACAAAAAGTAAACGGGAGAAGCAACAACAGCCAACAACAACTAACCATTAACACACATGATGATATAACCCAGAAACCAACCCAGCCATGGAAGTATCCAAAGTAAATAAGCCTACAAGATTGTAAACAGGGAACCAGAGACATCAATTGACAAATGAGGACAATTACAAACCAAAAAGAGGGGAAAAACTGTCGTTACAGGACTTTTAGATGGTAGGGAAGTCAAGACAACTACAAGATAGAATGGACTGTTCTAAACTTGGGAAGAAAACTATAAATCACAGGGTAATCTCAAAGAAAAATGATAAACCTTCACATCAAAATAAAAAAGAGGACCAGCACGAATATCTAGCAAATACTAAAACAATAGCAACAAAGGAAGTGATTAATAAACAAAACGAGTTCAGCATAGAAAGTTATATGGAACAAAGAAATCGACACCATGAAAAAGCACATAACAAAAATGACAGCAACAAATTTGTATTTGCTGATAATTGCTTACCTGGCAAGGGACTTATCTCTAAGATTTGTAGACAACTCCAACACCTCAACAGCAAAGGAATTAACAATCCATTTGAAAAATGGGCAGAAGACATGAACAGACACTTCACCAGGGAGGATATTCAGGTGGCCAGCTAATACATGAAAAGATGTTCATGATCATTGGCCATCAGTGAGATGCAAATCAAAACAACAATGAGATACCATCTCACCCCAGCACTGATGGCAAAGTTTAACGAGACAGAAAATGACAAATGCTTGCAGGGATGTGGAAAGATTGGGACTCTCATACACTGCTGGTAGGATTATGAAGTGATACAGCAACTGTGGAAAGCAGTATGGCAATTCCTTAGAAAGCTGGAATTGGAGATACCATGTGATCCAACAATCCCATTATGAGGTATATATCCTAGAGAGGTGAGAGCCAGGACAAGAACAGATACATGTACACCCATGTTCAACACAGCACTATTTACAATAGCAAAAAGATGGAAACAAACTTGCATGCCCATCGGCAGAAGAGTGGATGACCAGACTATGGTACATACCCACAATGGAATGCTATACAGCACTAAAGAACAATGTAGAGGCTGCAAAACACCACATAATATGGATGAATTTGGAGTACATTATGCTGAGTGAAATAAGTCAATCACAGAAGGAAAAATAGAATATTAGTTCATTGTTGTGGAGGGTCAAGGAAAGGTTTATATATGGAGGAAGACTTTCTTTGTTGGTTGCCGGGGTGGGAGGGGAGGGGAGGGAACACTGCAAAAAAAAATGCATTGACCCATGTCACTTTAGTTTTGTGTATTTCACTGTACATAAACTATATTTCAATAAAATGCTTAAAAAAGAAAAGTAAATGGTGGGGTTTTAAAAAATGATGAAAGCAAATTCCTTGACCGTGATCAGTGATATTTTAAGATAATTTTCAAATAATTCATTCATTGCAGAATCACTTACGCAGAACACGCCACTTCCCTTGAAAAGCATACTTGTTCAGCAAACAACACCTTTTAAATAACCTATCTAAACAAAGCAGTAGAACAAAAACTGAGTGTAAAGGCCCATTGCGTTTACCTAAGTATTCACAACGTAAAACAGAGACCTTAGAT